GGAGGAAGAGGGGAAGGGGGGGGGCGGACGGGAATGACGAGGGACAGGCCCCAAACAGTGACATCGCACGCTCCTGGAAGTTGTGGGCTGTCGGGTCCCTGTCGGCAATCAGTGGGCGATTTGGGCTCGATGTGTTGCCCCCTGCTCCTCCCCCTCCTCCTCCTCCTCCTCCTCCTCCTCCTCCTCCTCCTCCTCCTCCTCCTCCTCCTCCTCCTCTTTCTCCTCCTCCTCCTCCTCCTCTTTCTCCTCCTGCTCCTCCTCCTCCCGCTCCCCTTCCTCCTCCTCCTCCTCCTCCTCCTCCTTCTCCTCCTCCTCCTCCTCCTCCTCCTCTTGTATCCGTCTCCCCGAACGTTGCCCCCTGATCTGGGCTTTGGGACTGTCAAAGAGAAGCGATGCGCGAAAACAAACGGTCCTGATCAGGACCCCAGGGCGCCTGGTCTTGAACAAGCCATGACGTTGAAGCCTGGGCCCCACAAATAGGCTTGCAGCTCCCTTCCCCTCCTGGAGCCGCATGGCGCAGAGGCCTAGATCTCTGGCGGATTGATCCTATCAGTCCGTGGGCCCGAGAGCTATCGACCGCTTCCCTGGGGGCGTGCTTTCGTCTAGGGTCGTTCTCTTCTCTGACGGCCACGGGCCAGACCAAATTGCTGCTGGACGCAGAACATATGAATAGAAAACAGCCGCCGTCGCCAGCGGTCTCTGGATCTCCAGAAGTCTCCAGAGGTTTCTGAGGACCCTGGAGGTCCCTGGAAGCCTACTAAGGATGCCCCTGCAAACCAAAGAACTCAAATCCTCACAAGCATGACTCGCACAGGCCCGCGGTCATCGTCTGCGACACGGTGACCGCAGCATCGGGGCGTCCGAGGGCATGATCGTCCATCATCAAGGCCGCTGGGCGGCATGATCGCAGCATCGCGCGCTTGGCTCTTTGTCACTCCTCCCCCTGACCCTCCGCCCCCTTCTTGATCTCCCTAGACCTCTGGCGACAAGAACATCTCGGACTGGAAATGTTTCAAACGTTCTGTCTCGGAGCGTTTCCAGGCCCCCGGGGCCGTCAAATAGCGGCCCTGGATGAGCAGCCTGCCCTGGGGAGAGGCGTCGACAGCTCTGCAAGCCTGGAAACCCTTGGAAGTTCCCGGTGGCCCCTGTGGGGGCCCTTGGATCTCCGAGGAGGCTTCCGGAGGCCCTGGGAAAAGGGCCCCCGATTCCCCAAACCCTCGATTCGTATCGCCCCTGCTAACCCCAGAGGCCTCCTAGATGGGGTCCGAGTAGATGGGGTCGAAGGATCGCGCCGCATCGCCAATGCATCGCCAATGCATCGGCGATGCATCGGCGATGCATCGGCGACGTCGGTGATGCATCGGCGACGTCGGCGTGGGGAAACACAGGCTCCACATCGAGCCGCATCGTCGATGCATCGGCGATGCGGCGCGATCCTCCGACCCCTCGGACCCCATCCAGGAAGCTTAGGAATCCGCTCTTCTTCCGAATGGCACGCTGGGGCCGCTTCCGGGGGCGGCTCCCCGGGGCATCGGTTCCCCCTTCCTCCGCCTGCCAGCCTCCATCCTCCGCCCTCCCTTGTCCGTCCTCCAACTCTTCACTCCTCCTCCTCCTCCTCCTCCTCCTCGTCCTCGTCCTCCTCCTCCTCCTCCTCCTCCTCCAACTCCTCATGCTTTCCGCGCGAGCGTGGTGTTGGAGAAGGAGACGGGCGGGACCGAGAGGAGAAGGGGCGATGGAGGAGGGAGGGAGGGAGGATATGGGGAGAGGACGGGGGAGAATGCGGATACAGGGTCGCCCTGGAAAATCCTGGAACACCACAGGGCCCCCTACCATCTAGAACCAAATAAATTCCAAACACCTTCCCGCTCCACGCATCTTTCCTCACTCCTTCCCTGATCCTTAGAATTTGCTTGGCGGGTGTACGATGGATGGCAGGGTGGCGAAGAAACGTGCACATTTCGTGCCCCATTTGGGCCCCTAAGGTGTACGACAAGTGCACCTCCTCTTCACCCCCTCTTTACCACCCCACCCATTGCGCAACGCCCGAGATGCTTGTCCTTCTCGGTCGGCCAACCAGTTGGCCAATACAAGCTATTACAAAAAGGCAGCACAAGCAAGCGGCGAGACACAGGGGGGCGGGTGCAAGATGCACAGGAAGAAACAACTAAACCCTCGAACCAGCCACTTCCTCCACCTCCACCTTCTCTTCCTCGCGGGGACTCTCCGAAGACTTTTGAGACATCCCAATGGAGGCCCGAAAAGGCAACCACAACTCTATCCTCGATCCCCCAAGGGAGGGAGAGGCCCTCCAACTGGAGAATTGAATGGAGAGTAGGGGACGAGACAGATCAACGAACCCCCTGGAACAAGAACCTATTACAGAATGCTGGCACCCCCCATGAACCCTCCCAACGCCCATGCTCGCCCCTCCATTCCCCTCTCCTCCGACGGCGACGACGACGAGAACAACGATCGCCTAGAACCGTCCTGTCGCGTGCTGCGACCACGTCGAACCTCGAAGGCACTCACGCCGTGGCGACGAGAAGCCTCCAACAGGTCCAGGAAGGGTGAAACACAACCCCCGAACCTCGACCCTCCTCCTCCTCCTCCTCCTCCTCCGCCTCCGCCTCCACCTCCCCCTCACGCTCCTCCTCCTCGTCCGCCTCCTCCTCCTTCTCCTCCCCAATCCTCCTCCTACTCCTCCCTCCCTCTCCTCCTCCTGCCGCCTCCCCTCCTACCTCCTCCTACCTCCTCCTCCTCACTCCTCCGCCTCGCACTCCTCCCTCCTCCTGCCCACTCTCTCTACCTCCCCTCCCCCTCCTCACGCCCTCCCCTCCTCCTCCTGCCTCCGCCCTCCTCCTCCTCCTACCTCCTTCCTCCATTCGCCTCCGCCTCCGCCTCCGCCTCCGCCTCCTCCTCCTCCTCCTCCTCCTCTTCCTCCTCCTCCTCCTCCTCCTCCTCCTCCTCGTCCTCGTCCTCGTCCTCGTCCTCGTCCTCGTCCTCCTCCCCCAAGGCGGGTGGGGAGGCGCTCCCCCCGCCACGCTCTGTTGGCCCCCTCGGGGGCCAGCAGCGAGCGGATCGCAGTCCTTGCCCTCGGAGGCGCTCTCCTCGCTGTCCGAGTCCTGGAAGGAACTGGGGAGGAGGAGAGAGGAGGATGTTTTGCTGGGCTCCACACACCTGCGCCTCCGAATCACCTGTCTTGCCATCGCTCGGACGTCCATTCCCCGTTCATGTGTCGGTATCGTGCGTTGTTTTTTTGTTCCGCCAAGTGCTCCAGGATGCTCCTCGATGGTCCTCGCCGGGAAAAAGGAAAGCGCACGTCCGAGCGGTGCCAAGCTGTCAGAGAGTTGGGCGGGCACGTCGCCGCGGCGGCAGGAGCGGCGGCCCGAGGAGGTGGCGGGGAGGGAGAGGAACGTGCGTTCGGGAGGGGACGCGGGGGCGGGGGGGGGGGGCTGCGAGAAGTTGGAGCCCTCCCGCCTCCCCCCCACACACTCCTCCACCACTCCCCAGCCGCCATCCCCCCCTGTCCCTTCCTTGCCTCCTCCCTTTCCACCTCTCCTTTACCCACCCACCCACGCCCCCGCCTCGTTCTCGCCCTCCTCGTCGTGGTGGTCGTCGTCATCTCACTCCGTCCAGCTTCGTCCATCCTCGATTCTCGTTCATCCTCCATCCTCCACCTCCCCCTCCTCCATTCACCTCGCCCCTGCGTGCCCACCTCCCTCCCCCTCCCCATCCCCATCTTCCTCTCCCTCATTTTCCACCACCTCCTCGTTCATCCACACCCGCTTGTCTCGAATCACTCCCGCCTCTCCTCTCGCGCCAACTCCTTCCCCCCAATGAAAGGAAGACGGCGGAAAAGGGGAGGGAGGATGCGGAAAACATGTGCCCCCCTCCCATTCCTGCTGGGTCGCCCGTTGTGATTCATTTCTTCCTCCTCCTTCCGTCATCCTACTCATTCGCCCCCCGCCCTCGACCTTCGACGACGGCGGCGGTGGCGGCGACGTCAGGGGGCGACCGACGTGGGGCTCAGGCGCCGCTGGCTCCTCCTCATCGTCCTCCTCGTCGCTGCCCTCCTCCTTGGCGCTGGACTCGGCGCTCTCGCTGGCCTCCTGCCGCCAACCGTGTGTGGGGAGTAGGAGGAGTAGGAGGAGGAGGAGGAGGAGGAGGAGGAGGAGGAGGAGGAGGAGGAGGAGGAGATCCGCGCCGCTCGGGCGGGTGGTAAAGGGGGTAGGGCTCTTTTCTTCCCCCCCCGTGTAGGTCACCCCCCCAATGCCACCCGCCCGAGCCGCGCCCAGAGAAGGGCCTCGGGGAGGCCGTCCGGGGGCGGAGGGTCCACGCCTCTCTGGCGCTCTCCGGGGAGGCCCACCGCTCGCCATCGCTCGAAGGCCCATTCCCCGTGCAGCTGTTGGCTGCGTGCGCGTACTTGTCGCGCCTGACTGGGGAGAGATGGTTCCCCCCCAAAGGCACATTGATGTTCCTCACCGCGCTTGGCGCATCTGTTTGACGACGAGTCGCTGTCGACGCCATAGCTTGACAACAACTCCGATATCGACGCCTCTGCTAGACGACACATCGCTTCTTGACGGTATAATCGCTGGCGCCTCCATCCTTGATGCCTCCGCCCGAAGCACGCTGGAACGTCCAGATCGGATAGCCCGTTCTTGACGAAATCAAGTTGCGACACGCCGAGACGTTGGACTTACACGCTTGACCACAGCGCCGCTCTTGACGTCTCTGCATGACTCGCAAAGACTTACCAGCGACGCCAACATCCAACACGCGCGCGTGATCAATGATCACACGCGACATCGGTGAAAACACCATTGCTGACGATCTCGAAACCCAATGGGCCTCCCAAGTGCTCTACATATTTCAATAGGTCACGGCAGTCGTCGCGCATCGTGCGTCGACACAGACGTGTAAAGCGCCGTTGTGCCAAAGCAAGTCTGGGCAATGAACATCCACTAAATTGAAACTTCACCCTTGATTTACCACTGCTCTGCTTGGTCTGCTCATACCGTGCGAGCGTTGCGCCTCCCTCCATTGCCAAATAAAGCACAGATGGTGTTTACTGCCGTTTGAGTTTAGTCCAACTTCGAATTATCATGTGCCTTACACAAAAACGAGGACGGAACCGACCAGCCCTAGCTTGAACGCAATGCATTTGGATTCGATATGGTCTCGCTCCTGGAAGCTAAAGGCATCCGGCCACCCATGTAATTCCTTTGCATCGTGATGTCCTTGAAAACGTGGGTGATGACATATAGAACTTGAAGCGGTCACTGCTGCTCATACACTACGGGTCATCGCACAAGCAATGCGCCACATTGCAACACTTGCTGTCATTATGTTGCGCGTTTCAGCACGCACTAGCATGACCAAAACCATCGTGTTGATGGTACATCTTCCTAATCGATTTCCACCCATCTGCAGGTCTTCCCGAAACGCTTCATGTGCTTTCATCGAAGAGGAAAGAGACATCCCCCTTTCCCACCCAATAGCTTGTTTTCGATTGTCACATGACTGAGGATCTCATACTCAACGAACTTAATCTCCAGCCTAGGCCAGGATTGATTCCCATTCCAGGGGACCCAACCCCGCGTCCGCGGACTGGGGCGCCGACGATACACGCACGCAGACCCTGGCCCGGCCCATCCTGGGCCCAGCACCGGCACCTACGCCCTCCGGGCTTGGCAGGGCATGCGCACACAACTGCGCCCACCCTGCTCCCAAGATTATAGAGGCCTCCTGGATGGCGATGCGGCGCGACCCTCCGACCCCGTCTGCTCCGACCCCATCTATAGGAGGCCTACAAAGATCGGCGCGGCCCTGCTCCTCGCCGACGGCCGCCGCCGGCCGCCGCTGGAGGCCGCCGACGGCCGCCGCGATGGCCGCCCGACGGCCGCCTCTGGCCGCCCAAGGCCGCGGGCGGGCGGCCGCCGAAAGGCCGGCGGCCGCCGAAAGGGCCGAAGGCCGGGAGGAGCCCGAGGCGCTCCTGGTCGCTGGCCGCCGGCGGCGGGCCCGCCCCCTTGCCGGGCGCGGCCGCGCCGGAGGAGGAGCTGGCGCTGGACGCAGCGCTGCCAGCGGCCTCGCGCCGCGGGGCCCGGGGGGGGGGGGTCGGCGACCGATCCGAGGTCGACCCAGGCCTGCGGCGTAGCGTTTCTGTGTTGCTGCTGTCGACCGCGGCGTTGGTCCCGCATTTCGGCCTCGTCTCCAGGCGTCGCTGTCAGACGACGATGCGAGAGCACATGGAAGCTCCCGGGGAGGGGTTGAGCCCCATGGGGCCCGAGTCTTGAACTCGGCAGCGCGCCGAGGGGGGAAATCAGAAAGGGCGGGGCTTCTCAGAAGCCCTCTGGCCTTCTGGAAAACCATCGATTTACCAGCCTGGAACACATCCCTATCCCTATGCTGGGCATCGCCCCATCTCGATGCCAATCTTAGGGATTCCCTCAGTTTTTGAGGGCGCATCCCTAAGATTGCCATCGTCTTTCGGCGTGTCAATCTTAGGGATAGGGACAAGTTCGAGGCCGGTGATCTATGGCTTTGGAGAGGGCCCACATAAAGCTGCTCAGAAGGCCGGAGGCCTTCTGAGCTTCCTGGGAAGGCCTTCTCCCCCTCGGCGGGCCGCCGATGAACAAAGTCAATCCGTCGGAGGCCAGGGGGCCGGATCGAAGGTCGGGGGCCGACCAGCTTCTGTTTGGCGTTCCTCTGCCTTCTTGCGTCTTCTGGGAGGCCCTCGTGGCCGCATCGGCTGGGCTCGGCTCCACAAGCTGGTCGGGATGGAGTGCCAGAGACAGTCTGCGCTCGATGGGGCGATCATGGCCCCTCCCCGTGGATCCGCGGGGGGGGGGGTGGACACGTGCTGTCGAAACGGGTGGAGGGGGGTTGGAGGAAGAAGAGGAAGATGAGAAGAGGGAGGAGTAGGGAGGGGCATGGACAAATTCCGTCGGAAGGCCAATCATCCCGCGCCTGATAAGTAAACCATCCTGTCTGGGGACCGCTTTTGAGCGAAATCCTACCTGCCAGACTAAGTTTTCTGCTAGAGCTGGTCCTGCTTAGCGCGCTGAGGCTCCAGTCTAGCTCATTTGCAGCGGACGTATCATGAAGAGACACCTGGGTAATTACATCGACAGAAGACCACGCAGCAATAGCTCACGAGTCATGAGGACAACAACGGTGAATGTGCCAAGGCTGTTTACAAATAACCAAGAAACGCTGATGCACAGAAATGCGCCAACGGTCCTTTAAGGCTGCCTTGAGCCCTCTGGTGCTACCTTGGGGTCTGAAGGACTCGTCGATACATCTTGCGGCGTGGTCAGGCCCTCTTGAGAGCCTCTTGAAGGACCTTGGGATTCTCCTGCTGGGACGCCTCCTGGGCTATTTTTTTTGTTTGGTACTATCTGCCTCATGACAACATTTGCTTCTCATATCTTTTCCGGGTGCAGAAGGCGCACGGCGCGGGCGCTGGGCAGGGCACAATGGAAGAAGACGAATAAAAACTCACGCACCAGCGCCTGACCGCCTGGCAAGCCCGAGGCCCCAGGGCAGTGCGAAAGCAAGAGCCAAAAATCCACATCCCGACGGCCTCTGTCGGCTCGAGATCGCGGCGACAGCCGAAGCGACCGTGCATCGAAAAAACGCTGGTCACCTCCAGTCAGGGCTTCTCGGCGCCAGGAGCTCCGAGGATGTCTCAGGCGAAATGGGCCTGAGCACATCGCGGCCTACATCTTAGGACCAAGATCAGTGAGAACGTCTCAAGCGAAACGGGCCGGTCCCGGCGTCGTCGTCCATCGTCCGACATCCGTCCACCCGCCATGTTGCTTCTCTATGATAGCTCAGCCGCGGGGATCTTCTCTCGCTTGCTCTCTCAGCAGAGAAGGCGCTTGGTATGCAGCGGCCAGCACTGTACATGAGCTGCTGCCTTGGGCTGCAGCTCGCTGGATACTGCTGCGTGAAAGGCGCTGCCGCAGTAACGGGGGCATCATTACTGGCACGATGGAAGTGATATCTCCATGATCACCGGTGGCGCATATGGATTAGCTGGAGCAGCAGAGTGAGAAGCGATGCGCAGAGGGGAGGACAACCACGTAAACAAGACGGTGATGCCAGAGACACGTGCACGATCACAACCTCTCGCAGGTCCAGGCGGACTTGTTGGACTGACGCAGAGCGCAAACAATCATGCGTGTGTAGTGAAGTTCTTCTCTTGAAAAAAAAGAAAGAAAACATGCAGGAGACAGCAAGACGGAAACAAGAGAGCGAGAGAGAGGGAGGCGCACACAGGAGAGCAAACGCGTGAGCGAACCACCAACGCGGAGCATTCTCTGGGCCAACCTAAGGCTGGGCGGGCGAGGCCGTGTCCTCTCAGCCACCCGTCGACGCTACGTGCTTGCGGTTCCTTGCGCCTTCCGCCCCCTTGGGAAGATCCGCGGCGCGGCCCCCTGAGGACTCACGGCTGATTGACAATGAAGAGTGGTGGCAGGACAGAAGATAGTGTGCCGCGTGCCGTACCTCGGCGTTGGACAAACTTCCCTTTAGTGAGCCTCCCCCTAGTGAAAACGGCCTGGGACCGAAACCGACGGACCTGGGCCCGCAAAAATGACGGCCGCGACGCCCTCTCGCGAACCGAAAACGGCCAATTCGCTAATCGACGTGTCAGGGTAGGAGCCAACTCCGAGTACCTGGCCCACTTCTGTAAGGCTCATAAGCGACTTCAGAGAAGCTTCCGGTCGGCTTCTGAAAGGCTTATGAGAGGCGTCCGGAAAACAAAAGGCGTAATAATTGCATATGACAGGCTTCTGGGAGGCGTCTGACAGCCTTTTGAATAGCTTGTCTGAAGCTTACGAAAGGCTGCGGGCTGCTACTACTACTACTACTACTACTACTACTATACTACTACTACTACTACTACTACTACTACTACTACTACTACTACTACTACTACTACTACTACTACTACTACTACTACTACTACTACTACTACTACTACTACTACTACTACTACTACTACTACTACTACCACTACTACTACTACTACTACTACTACTACTACTACTACTACTACTACTACTACGACGACGACGACGACGACGACGACGACGACGACGACGACGACGACGACGACGACGACGACTACTACTACTACTACTACTACTACTACTTCGCTAATCGCTAACCCACCTCCGAATACCTGGCCCCGCTTCGCACAGGCCAAGGTTGCGGGGGCGCGCTGGACGATGCCGGAAGAGCAGGGGGGGAAAAAGACCTAGGGCAAGAGGCAGAGGGGGGGAGTCGGGCCAACACGCCCTGGCGCGGGCTGCCGCCCGCCGCCACGGCGCCAGAAACAGCGCTAAAGTCATCGGCCTGACCTAAGGAACGATACATAAGGAACGAAGCCCCTTTTTCCAAGGAGAAACCGAGCCCCACTAGAAAAGTAAGTGCTCCTTAATTATTCAAGCCGCTCACTGTATGCACGCACGGCCAAGGCCAGGCTGAGCACTGGAGCCAGGCCGCACAACGCAGGCCAGGCGCAGGCAGACTTGATTGCACCAACGGATTCAGCAACCTCCAAAACTTCAGTGCCGGTGTAGCCCCATTTGCACGGGGTCTCGCCGATGCCGCGGAGCCAGCGGTCGTAGGTGAACAGCGGGTTCGTGGCCTTGCCGTGGCCAAGCGTCCCGGGGTTCCCACGCTGCTTGCAGTAACCGTGAAGGTGCCACTGCTGCTCGCCGCTGTCCAGATAGAAACAGTCCGTCGCGGGATATTCCATTAGATATCCCAAGCGCTCCTGTCCGAAGGCTTTCACGGCCCCCTTGAACATCATGTGGCCCGTATCATAGTATCGCTGCCCCGCTTTGACTGCCCCAATCCGCTCGCTGTTCCACGTGTCTTTAAACTCTGACATCGCATTACCCCCTACTAGATGAATATGATCGGCGATGTCGTCAGTGACGCAAGAGTGGAACACGTTCCGCTGGAAGTAGAGTATGTCGGAGGACACAGCGCGATCAAAGCTCAAACTCTCCTTGAAGACCAAGTCTGGCCGCAGGACGAGCGCGATCCCGGCATCGTTGGGCACGTCAGCCAGGCAGGCCCTGCACTGGCCCAGCTGCAAGGGCTGCTCTGCCTTGCCCACCTCCCCAAAGCTGAAGTCGCCACTCGCGGCCCCGAAATACTTCTCGGCGCTCTCCACGAGTCCACGGGTCGCCCCGTTGGGGCGGACACAGAAGTGCTCGTGCACCGAGGTAAGGGCGTACGCCGTCTTCAGGGGTTCCACCACGTGGCGCCTCATCGAGCAGGGCGCCACCTACTGCGCCTTAGCTGAGGAGCGAAATACTGCCCCTCTGAGCATGATACACGGCTTTTTGCGGGAACGTGAAGTGTTTCCCGCCAGACGCGTTGAACTTAGGAATCGCCCAGCTGTCGTTGCTGCAGTTCGCCTTCTTAGGAAGTCCACTGACAAGCGGGAGCACCTTCAGTGACAGCCATATGAAGCGCCTGATTTGCCAAACCGTAGTGCGAGTATATAAGGTACGTGGCCAGAAACAGATAATATGCCATGTGGACGCGTCTCGGATTGCGAAGGCCTGGTGCCCAGCTGCAGCGCAACAGTATTGAGCCAAAATGGCTGCCGAGGGCGCCTGCTGGGCTATCTTTGAGGCCTCCTCTGGTGCCCTCTGGATGCCTCTGAAGGGACTCGGGGTCCTCCCAGAACTGGCCTCGAAACAACTCCATTGGGAGACCTTCCGGACGTGAAAACAATTAGAACTCTAGAGGGCCGTCCCCGCAAGGGGCCCCACGGGGCAATCTTGGAAAACAACTCGGGACTCGGGGCTCAAGGCATGCATGTGGCCCCATATGGATAGGCAAAAACATGTGCTCACAGATACGGAGGGGAACACATAGACATACATAATTAGGCTTTCATGGAAACACGATCCCACACCTGTGACCAATGTGCACCAAAATAGTTGTGAGATACACGTGGGCGCGATGCAGGCTAAGCACACGGTAGGCCAAGCGAAGTCGCTCGAAGCCCTACCACGCAAGCGCGCAGATGGAACGGAGAGGATCAACAAGGCACCAAAATGGGCCGAACAATGTGGAGCACACGGCACCAGACAAGTGCCCAGGTCGCTGGCGGAGGAGGGACATCGTCTCCACTTAACTACTCCTCTCCTTCCTGCGCTTTCCCTCCCCCCACCCCGTCCTCCTGCGCCCTCCTTCTCCCGACTCGTCTGCGGCCTCTTGAGAGCTGGGTGGCGCTCCTACGACCTCGAGACGAGCACAGCGCGACATCCAACGTCCTCTGGCTTCCCGCGGAGGCATCATCCGGAAGACGTCCCTGGCCGCAGGGCGCGCTCGGGCTCCTCGGGCTCTGAGGGCAGTCTGGGGCCTCTGCGACATCTTCCGGCGGCATGCCCGGGGGTGACGTCAGAAGGCGCGGGCCTCCTCAGAAGGCTGGGAAGGCCTCGGGCCGTCTGAGGAAGCTTCTGAGCCTCCCCGACGACGCAAAACACTTCGCCGAAGGCTGGAGGGCTTCTGAGAAGCCCCGCCGCCTTTTGAGAAGGCCTGATCAGGGCTCGCCGCAAGGCGGGCATGACGCTCCCGGCGCCGGCGCCGTCGCCAGCCTCGCCGTACTTCTCTCGCGTGCCCAGGCTATCGCTCCCTCCGAGGAGGCGTAACTGCGCGGGGCCTGGCTTGATCCGAAATGGCTACGCAGAGCTTGAGCAGGAGACATGATAAAAAAGTGTCGCGCCAAGCGGACCACGATGAGTTTACGTGAGAAGGGCAGCAAGGATCGCCTACAAGTGTGATGCGCTCTAGCAGTGGGCTTGGGACGACTCTACAAAGATTCGCGCGGACTCTGAAACATCGATTGGGAAAGGCCGGAGAGTGAATAATTACATAGCGCCCCGAAGTTGCCAGTCTGCGAGGCTCTGAAGAAGCGCCCCGCAGGCGCCGATTCGAATACATTGTCCAACGAGCCCGCCGCAGGCGCAATAGTTTCGTCCAAGCAATGTGGGTGGGCCGCGGGGTTGGTCGCGAGGTGGGGCGCGGGCAGGTCACGGGCGAGGACGACGACGACACCAACAACATAACAACGTAACAACGCAACATCAACAACACCGCCACCAACAAGAACACTACCAACACGCAAACAACAACCATCATTTTAAGACTGTCCGCTCCTATCTGCTCGCGTGTCACTCCATACGTATATGCCAAACCCGCGGTACCCGCCCTCTTCGTCTTCAACCGTTCACCCTTAGGGGTATATCTTCCTTACCTGCGACGCGTAATTGGCGTCGCCCCTGAAACAATTGACGAGAGGACGAATGGAAGGGGGAGGGAGAATGATACAGCACGGGATAGATTAGCAGGAGGGGCGCTAAGAGCAGAAACAAGTGGCAAAACCAGACGGGCAGATCGAGGGGGCAGACCCTAGCGGGCAGGTCGGAAGGCGGGCCCGGGCGGCCAGGTCGGGCAGGCGGGTTGCTGAAGCGTGCGTCCTGCATGAATCGCGAGGAGGCAACGAACGATAGCGAGATTTCCAAATCAATCGAAAAACAATCAGAACGAGAGCGCGATTCCGGAGTGTCGGGGACGAGGCGTCTGAACAAATTACGAGGAAGTCGCACGCGCGAGCGTGATTCTTGCACACATTGTAAGACAAACCCGCGCGAGAACGCGATTTCGAAATACATTGTGAGGAAATATCAGACGAGACCCGTTGTTGTTGTAAGTCGGGGGCCACGGGCGCAGTTCGGTGACCATAGACTTTCCCTTAGAAAACAAGGTGCGAGCCCCAGGGGGGAGCACCGTAGTTGAAAAGCGCAGCAGTCACCGGGGGGATCAACTTTACTTAAATCTCGGACATGAAAATTCAACAACAACAGAAACGATAACAACAACACCTACAACAACAGCAGAAACAATAACAGCAGCAACAGCATCAGCAACGGCAGCATCACCACCACCAGCAACACCAACAACACCAACACCAGCAACAACACCAACAGCAACACTGACAACAACACCAGTAACAGTAACAGCAACAACAACATCACTACCACCAACAACAAGACCACCACCAACAACAACGACAACACTAATCACAACGACAACGACAACGACAACAACAACATCAACATCAACAACACCACCAACAGCAACAACACCAACGCGACCAAGCAATGTCACACTCCGCTCGCGTACCATATGACACGTATCTCCCAAACCCTCGGTACCCACCCTCTTCGCCTTCGACCGTACCCCCCTGGGGGTGTATATTCCTTACCCTCCACATGCACGTCGCGCAACCCCTAAACCCGAGGAAGATAGAACGATGGTAGTGGGAGGAACAAGGATGGAACACGAGAGACATTAGCGGGAAGGGGGGCTAAGAACAGAACACACGTGGCAGAACCATACGGAAGGATCTGGCGGTCAGACCCTAGCGGACGGGTTGGGAAGGCGGGCCCAGGCGGCCAAGCCGAGCAGGCGGGCAACTGAAGCGTGACCCCTGCATGAATCGGGAGGAAGCGGGATCTCGAGCGATAGCGCGATTCCCAAATCATCTTGAGGAAAGCCAGAACGAGAGCGTGATTCCTGAGTGTCGAGGGTGCGGCGTCTGACGACATTGCGAGGAAGTCCCACGCGAGAGCTCGATTCCGCATACATTGTGAAGGTGTCCCGCGCGAGAGCCCGATTATATAGTCCACTGTGAGGAAGCATCAGGCGAGATCCGTTGTTGAATTCTCACTTCTAAAGAATAATTGCTGTTGGTGCCCCCTCCAACAATCATAGTTTTTTAATTGAAGTGCCCCCCTCGGGGCCCGCACCGTGCACTTATAAGGGAAAGCGTGTTGTCACCAAACTGTTTTTTTGAGCCCCGAACTACAACATCAGCAACCACATCAACAACACAAGCAACAACAACAACCACAACAACAACACCGACAACAACACCAGCACCACCACCAACAACACTATAACCAATGACAATAACAGCAACACCAACAACACCACCGCCACTTCCAACAGCAACACCAACAAGGACAGCAACAACAAAACCAACACCCACAACAACACAAAATAACAGCAACACCAACAACACCAACAACAACAACACCACCACCAACAACAACACCACCGCCACCAACAACAACAACAACAAAATGGCTCCTGGTCGATACTTCCTCACAAGGTATTCCAACATCGCGATCTCACGCGGGACTTTCTCACAATGTATGCAGGAATCGCGCTCTCAAGTGGGACTTCCTCCATTGATTCAGACGCCGAGCCCTCGACACACAGGAAGCACGCTCTTGCTTTGGCCTTTCTCACGATGTACATGTGAATCGCGCTATCACTCGAGCTCTCCCCGCGATTCATGCAGTACTCACGCTTCAACAACACGCCTTCTCGTCATGGCCGCTGGGGCCCGCCTTCCCGACCCGCCCGTTGGGGTCTACCCGCCCGATCTGCCCGTCTGGTTCTGCCACATGTTTCTGCTCCTAGCTCCCCTCCTGTTAATCAAGTGCTCCATCCTGCTCACTCCCCCCTCCATCCGTCCTCTCTTTCCCTGTGTTACGGGCTGTGCCAAATGCACGCGGCAGGTAAGGAAATTATAAGCCCAGGGGGGTATGATCGAAGACGAATCGGGCGGGTACCTAGGGTTTGCGATATACGTGTTGAATGGCACGCGAGTCGGTAGGAGCGAACAGTCGTAAGCTGACTGCTGTTGTAGTTCGATGCCTAAGAATGCTGTTTGGGCATGCCCCAATTTCCCGGATAAAAGACAAAGAACGAACCCCGGGAGGAACACTTTAATTGAAAAGTGCAATGGTAACCGGAAGGGGGATCAACAATCCTTCCCCCAAAAATTAAATTTATCAACAACAGCGCAAGAACAAGCCGCACCGCGGAACCCCTCTTCAGCCACGCGCCCACGGACAGTGAATGAGCGTTCGGCCCCTCACTCTGACATAGAATGGCACGCAACAGCGAGTTATATAGTAGATGTATACAGATACAGCTGCATATGGAAAGGCAACAAACAACAGTCGGAGAGAAAGAGAGCCAGCATGGCTGCCTTCGCAGAAACCAGCTCGCGCTTGATACGCAACTCTATGACCATGCTCCGCTTGATCTCGGCGATAATGGTGACGACGCTGCCTTCCATGCCGTTCGCGGCCACAACCAAGTCCCCTTTCTTCACCTGGCGCCACGGACAACGGCAACCAACGAGCCACGGAATCGCTCTCTCTGTCTCTGGCTCCCACTCCTCGTCCCACTCATCGCCTCGTCATTTTTCCTCCTCCTCCTCCGCCTGCGCTGTGGGCGAAAGCAGGCATCGGTTGAACATTGCGAGGAATGACGACCTGCAGGCACGGCCTGCCAGCCGGCCAGCCAACAAGCTACGCTGGCGGAAGCGCGGCGCGAATCTCTGTGGAAGCCGAGGGCCTCTGAAGCGACGAATGCGAGAACCGTGAGGAACATTAGCGTCGGCGACACGGAGATGGTCGATGTGCAGGTGCAGGCCTGGCGGGTTCATTCGACAATGAACGAAGCCCTTTAGATTCAAAGCAACGTAGGCAACCATAACGACACGGGAGATCTGATGAATTTTGGATAGACTCACGGACGGGAGGGAGGCCGTGAGCGTCCTACTGAGTCCAAGCTGGACGCAGGAGACACTGAGCATCTTCCCTCAAAGTAAACTTCCATACGCCTCCCTGTGCTGGTGCCCTAACATCTGAGTCTACCCATAACTGGCCGCTGCCCCTTCGTCCTCCCTGCTCCTTCTCCTGCTATTTCTCATCTTGTTCCTCCTCCGACTGCTGATGGTCATCTTTTAACGATCGGACTAATTCTCCGAGCGCCTTCGCCCGCAATCTCGTCAGCGCGTGCTGGCTGATGACACCACTGGAGGCATGAACCGCATCGTCTCAAACTCGTTATAAAGGGCAAGTGGGTCGAGCTATCGACCAGCATACTCGGGATTATCAACTAGAGGTTGGAGATTACCCCCTTCTATTTCCCCCATCCTGAGCCCCAACCAAGGATTTCTGGCAATCAGGCTGGTTCCTGTATAATCGGCGGTGGATAAACCTCCCTTTAGTAAACCTTCCTTTAGTGAAAACGGCCTAGGACCGATAACCGACGGACCTGGACCCGCAAACATAACGGCCGCCACGACCTCTCGCGAACCGAAACCGGCAAATTCACTAATCGACGTGTCAGGGTAGGTCTATCAACCTCCGATATAATTACGTGGTGCATGGGTCGGCGGGCGTAGCGAACCTAATCCGCGGCCAGACTCAAAGTGGGCACCAGAGAAGCCGCCAGAGACGGTGCATGGTGACACCAATAGCCCCTCTATGCGACAACGAATGAACGCCTCTCCATCCAGCCTCGCCATCCTCCACGTCCGTTTCCTCATCCGTGTCCCCCTCGTGATTTTCCTACCTGATGATGAAGGGCCTTTGGGACGGGAGGGTGACTTGTAGCATCGCTGATCCACCTCGGGTCCTCCTCCTCCTCCTCCTCCTCGTCCTCTCCCTCCCTCGCTCCCTCGCTCCCTCCCTTCCTTCCTCCCGCCTCCTCATCCTCCTCCTCATTCTCCTCCTCCTCTTCCTCCTCCTCCTCCTCCTCCTCCTCTCCCTCCTATTCCTCCTCCTCCTTCTCCTCCTCCTCGTCCTTCTCCTCGTCCCCTCTCTCTCGCTCTCTCGCCTGGGCCCGCTCAACCCTCTGTGGGTGAGCGAGCCGGCCACGAGGAGCACCCCCCCCCTGGCGCCTTTCCTCAGCCCGCGCGGGCCGGAATCTGGGAGCCCCCTTTCCCCAAGACGCAGACCGCTCCTCCCCGGGCCCCTCGCCGCACAGAGCAGCCTCCAGCCCGCCCAAGCAGACCCGCCGCAGCGCCCCCCGCGCGAGACTCCATCGGGCGGGGGCGATCGGGGCGAATAGCCGAGGGGCGGGTATTACATGCATTCACGGGGGGGCCTCGCCGAAGAACATGGCATCGTCACCACTGGATACATGTTTTGCTCTCCCCTGGGCTACTCGCCCCCATGAAAGGGGCGAATCGCGCAGGCGAGAGCAACGCATCGCAGACGACACAGGGGAGAGCAACGAGGGGAGAACAATACAGGCGATAGTCCAATGTTTGGACCAGAGGCGACGGTCGTATCGCCGTCTCCGATCCATCCACTCGCGGGGAAGAGGCGGCCGGCGCGGCGGGCCCCGAGTAGGGGAACAAAAAGTGACATAAACATAAAAACTCGGAGGTCCGCGCGGACTTCTCGGATCGGCGCTGGACCCCCCTCCCTGGCGCGCGGTCGCAACGAGGCGCAGTCATATGTTGGCGGCCGGCCGCTTGAGCCAAAGCGGCCACGGACAAACGCTCGCTATCTCTCGCCCTTGTCCCAGCTCACTTTCAAATTACCATCCCTGTCACAAAAACAATACAACATGCACCTCGCGGCTAAATCTGGGTCATGCGCGGCCACCCCGCGATCACTGTCAAGTGCTGGCGTATGACCTGCTGCGCGCAGGCCCACCAGACATAATGACGGGCATTGGCTTTCGACATGGACGGTGAGGGCCGACATGCTTCCCGATGTGTGCTGTCACGTGCGCAGGCACACCTGACACACTCTGAATGTGCCCCGAACGTGGAGCAACTGGCGCGGTTGAGGTGTGCAGCGCCAGAGGAGGAGGAGGAGGAGGTGGTGGGAGAGGGAGAAGGAAGAGGAGGAGGAGGAGGAGGAGGAGGAGGGGGAGGAGAAGGAGGAGGGGGAGGAGAAGGAGGAGGAGGAGGAGGAGGAGCAAGGCACGTGGCGGATCTGGCGCACCAGGCGTGTGTGGCACGCTCGGGCCCCAGGGGTGCTCGGCGAGCGTGGCGCGCCCGGCACGTCTGGCGCACCTCGCCCCAGCGTCACGCACATGGGCTCGGTTTTGGCTCCCAGTATCGGAGATGGACAGACCTCCCTTTCGTAAAACGTGGTTTAGTGAACACGACCTGAGGCCCAAACCACTACTCCCTCCTCTTACCTCCTCTTACCCACCATCTCAAAAGATGTGGATGGAAGAGAAAGAAATATCGGGGATGGACAGACCTCCCTTTAGTAAAACGTGGATTAGTGAAAACGACCTGAGGCCCAAACCTGGCGGGCGCAAGCCTGGAAAATAACGGCCACGGCGCCATCTCGAGAACCGAAAACGGACAATTCACTAATCGACGTGTCACTGTTGGGGGTTCTGTCCACCCCCGACAGTAGCTGTCCATCCAAAGACGACCGTGGAACATGCTAAGGCTCGGGTGTTACTTATGTGCTGGGAGGGCGGGTGGGAGTGAGCTAGACGGCTTGCTATCTAGGAGGGCGTCTTGACCCCTCCCCCTACCCCCTGCCCTGGGCCTGGAAGGGGGGGGGTCGGAGCCGTCAGAGCGCCCAAGATGGCTCCAAGTGGCTCCAAGAGGACCCAAGACAGCCCAAGAGGGCCTCCAAGATGTGTCAAGATACGTCAACATCACTCAAGGTAGCCTCCGGCGAGCCTCCAAGACGCCACGACACAGCCCCAACAGGGTTCCAAATGCCACTCCCGCCTCCCAAAGCACCTCCCAAGAGGCCAAAATCCTTCAACAACCTACGTAACAATAAGGTTGTCTGGCTTCTTGTGTTGTCGCTTCCGCTGAACTTCTTGGGCCGCACGATGGCTCCCAGATCGCCCCAGAGAGGCCCATGAGGGGCCCACGGCGGACCCAAGACGACCGCAAGAGCGGACGAAGAGGCCGCCAAGAAGCCATCTTGGAGCTTCCAGGGGGGGGGCCTACATTGAGCGTTTTTCTATTCGGCGTTTCGACATTGCGCGGAAGGGGGGGGGGGTCTGACTCTCCACCTTTGCTTCTTGGAGCAGTGCGCCCTGAGGGGGGAGGGACTCCACCTGCTCGAAACAAGCGCCAGAAAACGGCCAAGATTTGCTCTATGGTGGGAGTGGGGGGGGAGGGGGGCGGGGGGGGGGGGGCGAGGGCCCGCGCCGATCGGCAAAACAACTCATAAAAAACGACGACTCCTCCCCTTCTTTGAGCCATGGGGGCCAAGACGGGGGCTCGGCTGCGACGATAAGGGCGAATAGCCCAGGGGCGGGCATCACACGCATTCGCCCGGGAGCCTCGTCGAAGACATGGATCATCGGCGCCCCTGGATCCATGTGTTGCCCCCCCCTGGGGCTATTCGCCCCCTCTCGTCGCCTCTGGGGGGCCCGAGAGACGCCGCAAGCCTCCGAGCGCGGGCGAGCGGGAGGCCGCGCGCCGCACGCAGAGCCCGGCATCGGCATCGAAGGTTCGGCCAAGCAGCACGTGCAAACATTGTTTTAAACCGTGGGCATCGACCGCGGTGCCAAGGGCAGCACTGAGCTGCCGTGGACTGCCCAGGTGGTGCAGCTTCAAGGAGCAAAACAACCAGGAATCATGCACCAAGAGCCTGCAGGTCCCGATGGGGAGGCCTGCAGACAGAGTCCTGCCAGTCGATCACGTGTTTTCGGTTACTCTGATGGCGAAAACGCCACTCGCTTGTTGAGCGAACCTCGACGTTTGAAATAATCCCATTGTTATTTTTCAGAGCCCCAAGAACCCCCCCCACAGAGCCAAAACGGCGCGAGGCCGACCTGTTCGCCTGGGCATCGCTGCTCCCGCTCGGAGAAGTGTTGGCAGCACTGTGGGACCACGCATCGTGGCCGCCCCCCGATGGCATAAGCGTGGCAGGTCGACGTATCTCGAATCATACAACATGTCGCCGCGCTCCCCGCACCCCAGACAAGGGCATTCAAGGTGCCTGTTGCACTGTATGCTTCTGCATCGCCCACACGAAGCCGAAACATCAATAAGTCGGTTCTGGATGGGCTGGTGGGGATACGCGAGGCGTGAAGAGGCATCGGCTCTGGCTTGTCGTAAGTAGAGTTTAGCGCGCGGCGTGCTGGTCCCACCGACGCCCTGACCCGCTGTCCGACTCGTGCGCTGCCTCTCTCTTTAACTCTCTCTCGCTCTCTCTCAACTCCCCTCTTTCTCTCTCACTCTGCTGTCTCCACCGTACGTAATAGAACGAACCACATTACCAATCGACCGTCACCATCACCGTTGCCAGGAGAGCCCACCCAGCGAGCTCGCATTGAGAGTGCCCCCCCTCCACCCCCGAGCCCCACCTCTGTAAGATTGGCGCTGGGCAACCCCGCAACAAGCGGTGCACCGCAACAACATTGAAGAGAGGAGTTGAGGGGGTCTCCGCCAGTGGGCTTCGCGGTGTCCAATCCTTGCAATGATCGGTGCGGCGGCGAGGCGAGACCAAACCACTACAATTCGGCCGTGCCAATCACATTGAGGAGGGGGGTCAGGGGGGTCTCAATCTTCCAACTCCCACCCTGTATACCGCGGCGCGCTCGGAGTCGACCTCGAATTGAACCACTGGCCGCGTTCACCCCCAGAGGCCCTGACTCCCGCCGCCCAGCCAGCGAGGCAGCCGACGAGGCGGTCCACAAAGCAGCTAACGAGGCAGCCAACGAAGCACCCCACGAGGCACCCCACGAGGCACCCCGCGAGGCAGCTCACGAGGCACCCCAAGAGGCAGCCAACGAGGCTGCCGACGAGGCAGCCAACTCGGATATCATATCCAGCGTGCTACGAGCAAACAAACCTAGCTCGTGCACTTGTTCGATTTTACCCGCTGAGGCAGCCAATTCGGATATCATATCTTGTGTACTGTGAGCAAACAAACCTAGCTTGTGCACTGGTTCGATGTTATTTTCTTTCTACCGTATATTGCCTCTCCCTCCTTCCATCGTTCTCTCTCTCTCTCTCTCGTTTCCTCTCTCTCTCTCTCTCGCTGTTTTCCTTCTCTCTCTCTCTCTCCCTCCCTCCTCGAGCTCCACCGGGTGAACACGTGGCGCCTGCTTGGCAGGGTTGTCAGAGTTCCACTTCTCGATCAACGAGTCACCCTTCCAAGACACGATCTTCAGCGCCTATCCCCAGGCGGCTCGGCATGAACACGACATGTGGCATGGGAAGGATGGTGATATGTATATATATATATATATAGAGAGAGAGAGAGAGAGAGAGAGAGAGAGAGAGAGAAAGGGAGAGAGAGAGAGTGAAAGAGAAGAGAACGAGAGAGAGAGAGACTAGATAGTACAGAGTCAAGCTAGACTAAGGCGAGAGGAAGGTCGATAACAGAGAATACGTTGACTGTGCCTGAAGGCGGTCTCGGGGGCATCCCTGGGGACCTGCGAAACTCCCAGGAAATCCAATGATTGGCCCCTCCCCATCCCCCTCCCTGTCCCCCTCCTCCTCCGCTTCCTCCTCCGCCTCCTCCTCCTCCTCCCTCCACCGCCCGCCCCATGTCCCGAGCTTGTGGCAGGGTCATCAGCTCGTCGTTGTCGTCGTGGTCGTCGTCATGGTCGTCATCGTCGTCCTTCTGGGTCGGCGGTACCGGCCGCAAGGCCTTCACAATCCAATGATTGGGTTTCATCCTAGGCTTCCACTGTTTTTCACATCTCCCGCTTCGCGCATTCTTCGGTCGAGCATCGCTCCACTTGCTGCCTCCGAGTGCGCCAGCGGGCCCACTGAGAGCCCCCAAGAGGGCCCCGAGACGGCCGCAGAGAGCTGCAACAGAGTCCCAAACTGGTCCGAGAGGGTCTGTCCTCCTCCATTTTTCCTCCGTCCTCCTTCCTCCTCCCTCCTCTCCCAGAAACCTAAACTTCCAGACTCTCTCTCTCTCTCTCTCTCTCCCCCATGGCGGTCGAGAAGCGTGCCAGCCAGCCGCTCGAGAAGGCCGCCACGTTAGAGCAGAAGGCGAACACCTGGCTCCACGAGCAGAGGAACCCCAAGAAGGCCCGAGAGAGCCCCACGACGGCCTGGGAGGGCCCCCACGGCGGCCCCGAGACGCCCCCCCCGACGGCCGCGGGTGCCGCGGGATGGCCCGAGAGGGCCGCGGGACGGACGGCCACGGACAGCCCCGAGGCCGCTCCAGAGCCAGCGCCGCGACAAGGGGGCGAGGCCTTGGAGGCGTGGACGCGCCACGCGCGGCGGCCTGCTCGGCGGTGCTCGAGAGGCCGTCACGCAGAGTGCCTCGCTGGCGCTGTGGCGGATTTGCCGCAGGAGCCTGGGATTTGGTCCGGAGCCGTCTGGAATGGTCTTTCGCAGCGAGGCGCGCGTCTCTCGACATGGGCAACAACCCCGAATTCCACCAAATCTGCGGGCGTCGCAATGGCTGCGGGCGTTCGCCAAAGGGCAGTCTGGAGAGGGAGACCGGCGAGGAGGCAGCGGGAGGGGGAGGGGGCGAGGGAGGAGGCGGAAGAAGAGGGATAGAGTAGAGTGAACATAACGGCATAAACATCAACTTTGGGCGGTCTGCGCGGAGCGTCGAACATTTATGTTTGTGCCGTTTTCTTCTCCTTCGGGAGGAGGGGAAGATCAAGGTCCGACCAAAAGCTGGTCAACATCGGTACGCAGACCACCTCTGGCCATCCTGGCACCTTCCTGGAGCTGCGCCGCTGTGGCGACGAGAACCTCCAGAAGTCGCTCGAGGACGCTCGGAGAACCGAAGCCGTCGAGGCAGTGGCGAGGCGCGGACGAGGGGCCACGTCAGGGGCGGGCTGGCTCGGGGGGGGAGGGATGCGTCGAGCTGGCGTCGGCGCTGCGTCGCGGACAGGTCGGCGCTAAACCCCCGACAGCTACTCGGCCAGTCTGCACTGCCCTGGGCGGGCTAGGCCATCGGCCCCCTATCGTTAGGTTGGGCATGTCCCCCTACAGGCGGATTTTGGGAGAGAAAAACAAATAGTAAGAAAATACTTAAGCATGTGTTTTTTTTATACACAAAAGTTGCCCCCGGACTTGAGGAACATCGCTCCTGGGGAACAGGCCCGACTTGAGGCTACATCGCTGACAGATCGGCGCCAGATCCCCGCTAGCTGATCTGCAAGCCTGCACTGTCCTGGGCGGGCTCAGCCATCGGGCCCCTGCCGGCGACCCGTGGGCAACTGGCGGTCGAGGCACCCCTGTCTCGGGGGCGCGCAAACTGAAGGGGCCCTGGGACACACAAGTGAATACACACAAATAAAAGGATTCCATAGATTTTCCAGTATTTTCTGCGGTTTTGTTTCCCCCCCCCCCACTTCCCATATTTTCCCTTATTTTCCTGGGGGTCGACGATTAATTCTGTCTGTTTTT